ATATATTATATTATTATATAAGTAATATATATTTTTTTTTATTTCAAGCTATAACAAGCCGAAAATGATCGAATAAAGGGTTGTTCGTGTTTTGTTCATTTATAATTTAAACTTAAAAAAATTGCATTGTTTGGCTTGCTTGCTTAATAAAAAAATGAGCACGAGCTACTTAACGAGCTGTTCACGAATAATAAGTTTTTTTTAAGTTTTTTTGACGGCCCTAAAGCTATCCCCTGTGTCTCTTAGCTGCATGTTTCTCGGTTATGCCACGACTGAAAAGGTGTCGCTGTCTTAATCCTCTAACAGACAGAATTTACTCTCTCATCATGTCATACGTAACAAAGATATCTTTCCATACTGTCAACCTCTCCCATCCATAGGAGTCATCAATTCTTTCTCGCCATTAACCTTAGTTTCCATTTCTACCTCCACCAGACTCAAAAAAATCCCAGCTCATCCTCCCATTCCTTGATCAACCACTTTATCTGGTGGTACCACTAGTCCCAATTCAACTTCACTGCTCATCTTTCCTCAATCTCCCACTTACACCACTTCCATTCTCTTCTCCACCCCCAACTAATCACCATCCTATGTAAACTTGTCTCAACGTAGGGATCGCCTGCCTGAAACCCATCTTTAATTTAGCCCACAACTTCTCTCCATTTGCACCCAACAACTTTCCTGAAACTGTCAAGCATCTACACTGGCACAAGACTATGTCAATTGAGTTCCAGGTTCTTTAAACTCAAGGTATCTGGGAACTTGTTCCACCTTCTCCAGACCAAAATTTTCTCAGTCGCAAATGGAATTACTAAATTAAAGATCTCAACAATGGGCCTATTATGAAATACAAGGCACTCCTAGGGGCACACGGTTTTATGTTACTAGGTATTAAAGAAGAGGATGGTTTAGACTACCTGAAAATTTTCCGTCTTGCAGTAAAGCTTCCTACAATTTGCATACTTCTTACCATTCTTCTCACTTGCTAATGACCAATTCATCAACTTGATGTCTCTAATGCATTTCTACATGACACTTTAGTTCACATGAAACAACCCGTAGGCTTTGTTGATCCCCAATTCCCTAATTATGTTTGTCTTATCAAAAAGGCTTTTTATGTTCCATGGCAAGCACCTCGTTAATGATTGTTCACATTCACCAGCTTCTACAACAACTTGGATTCACAGTCAGTTCAACCAATCCCGCCTTATTCATCTGTCAGCAGAATTAGGTATTGGTTTGCCTCTCTTTATGTTGATGCATCTTCTTTATAAGGAATGAGCCTTCAACTTTTACGATTATACTTCACCACTTACAAAAATCATTCCCTCTCAGGAACCATGGATCTATCTCTCACTTCCTGGCTATAAATACCTTAGTACTCTAATCGACCAATGATAGACTTTTCCTATATCTACAAATATATGCTTTATTTTATGCTGTATTTCCTCGTCTGCATTTCTGTTAGCAAGTTTGCTGGCATTGTTATATTACAACGTGAAAACGATATCCAATCTTGGAGATATCTATACTTGAATGCTTTCATGCTTCGTATTCCCCAAACTTTTCAATTCTTTGCTCCTTAATGTTTTGTGATTATACTTTCATCTCACATAGTATATTATTTACTTTACGTTGTACAAGATTGTTAGTGTTTTACATCGATTATCTTTCACATTTCTAGAATTTAATTCAGATGTAGCTAACAACACTATTTGCAGGAAAAATGAAAGGCATTGCATTTATTAAAGATCCTGATGGTTACTGGATCGAAATTTTTGACCTTCAAAAGATTGGGGAGGTTACGGCTGTGGCCTCCTGAAAGACTTTGGACTCTAAAGGTAACTCTCACCTGCTTAGTTATAGTCTTATTTTGTGAAGATGTGTCAAATTTTTCTGTCATTTATGGTGCTAATAGATTCATGTATTTCATAATTTCAACAGGGTATAGCTTTCTCTCAGTTTCCCTTGGGGGAAATACTACTCAGACAAATAAAATATGGAGGGTTCTGTAGTTGAAATAAACAACAGAATTGAATTGATATTTATGCTCATTATTTTGTTTGGGTATGTACTTATATTCCATAAAAATTGTTACTTATTTATGTTTCTAATTCTTACATATATAAATCTCATTAATATTTATTTTTTAAAAAATTAAGTTTACATTATTTGAAAATGTAAAATGCCTTCTAAACTTCTAATATGATTCTTTTTAGTCAATATTGGCTTGACAATGGAAAAATTTGTTTTTTAAGGAATAGAAAAGCTCATAATATTCTCATTTTTTTTTTTTTTATCAAACAGTATTAAAGCAATTAAATCTAATATATTTTTTTTATGTATGATATTAATTTCAACATAAACCTGAAGATTGTTCCGTGTATTTGGGTCTGTTGGTTGTCATCCTCGGTATAAGACCCGACCCCTCAGGTTGGTGGTTTGAATGCCTCCTGGCTACGTTAGTCTTAAGGAGGTGGTACTTGAATTATTAGACACATTAGGTGTAGTTGGAGGCTTATATAATAGTCTCTGACCATTTATTTTAAATAAAAATAAACATTCAAATTCATTCTCATAAAAAATATATTAGTATATTCTAGCGCAAATGTTCATCTACTCTGAGTTGAAGGATGATTTAAGATTTAATTAAATTGTATTATTCTTCATTATAACAAATTAGTATAAAATTTTGTTTGGAATTGATGTGTATTATATTTAATGAACAATATTAATCTTTATTCAGCTTAATGAACACGAAGTATTAGAATTCATATTAATTAGACTTTATGTGGTACTCAAATAAGATTATATTTTCTACGTTTTACATGATTTGAAATTCCTCTTTCTATTAATATTTTAATAAAAAATGAACAAGTCTAATTGAAGTTGGAATATTTTGTTGTCACTAGAGTTTAGAAAGTTTAAGTGTCTATATATATATATATATATATATATATATGCTATTTACATTAAAATTGTACATATAATTCATCAAGCAAAGAGGAAATTTTACTTAGATCTTAAATTATTTTTAATAATAAGTTATCTTGTGAAAATTTATTAATTTTGATGATGTGAGTATAATTTCTCTAATTCTTGTCTCAAAAATGAAAGCAAAAGCCCATATGCTTTCTGAAATTAAAATAAAAGTAAAATTTAAAGAATATAGGTCAATAGGAAAATTAATTCTTACCTTAGAATTTGCTCAGTTATGTCACAATTATGATTTTTTTTATTTTGCAAGTATGCATATATTCTAGCTTTTTTTGATTTTTTTCCTTCTTTTGGTGATTGCTAAATTATATTTCAAAATTGAGAGTCTTTTTAATTACTTCATTGTACAAATAGATGGAAGTTTTTAAAAGTGAAACTCTTTTAGCCCTTTGATGTATAGGTAAAACAATCATAATGTAAATATCAAAAGAATTGTGTGGGTATGTAAATTGGTGAATCTTCTGTCTTCTGCAGCTATTAGGAAGAAGATCCCAATGGAGATGTGGTTAGGACATCCTGCTAGAGATTATGAGCACATGAGAGCATATGAGTGTCTAGTTTACTACCACGTGCGGAATGAGAAATCAGAACCATGAACAAAGAAGACGATATTTATTGGCTACATGTGTGGAATCAAGGCCTTTAAGTTTTATGATTCTTCGGAAAGAATTATTGTCATTAGTAGGGATGTTACATGCTACGAGACAAGTTGTTGAAAAATCGAGACTTAAAGAAGTGGAAAGCTCTACTAAGACCACAAATAATCATCGAAAGTTGGAGTTTGATGCAACTCCATTTATTATATAGAGTTTGTCCCCTCTGACTCATATATCTAATTCAATCGTAGCTCATGAGGTATCTGGTGATAGTTCTCAGCAGCAGGTGGAAGAAAATGTTGAGGTTGAGATTCTTGCTCAGAAATCTATTGCTAAGAGCAGGACTAAACGCCATAATGCCCCAATACTAGCTTGGTTGAATGAAAAAAGTGTTAATACTCATGATACTTGAGGTAATCTATGAAAACACTAAAGGTTTTTTCAAATACAAGAGAAATTAGAGTCATAAGAGATCATGACCTTTCATATGTAGTGAGATATTGTATATTATCCTATAAGTTGTATTCATTACATTAAAACATGTATGAGATATGAAGTAACCTAACTTCCCAAAGACCAATTTTGATCTTCAATGGATATCAGCACAAATTTAGGCCACTTGAAGCAATTTTTCTCTTAAGTTTATTGTATGGGGGATTACTACATTTTAGTGCTTATCAAATAATTCATCCATGTTAATAATGCTTTATTCAAATATCTTTGAGTGACATTATTTTTGCTCACTTATTAGATAACATAAAGTGTCTATATGATGCAAAAATATTAAAATTTTACTGGGTTGCAAAATACAATTATATGATAAGAAACTATGTAGTAAATGGAACAATAGAACAATTGCCTTACTATATGATAATGTTATAGATTTGTGGGTGTATTCAACAAGTGAAACTACACTGTACTCTCATTGCCCCACGCCAATCTGCCTCTCATTGCTTTCTCATCTTTAACATCCTCTCCTATACTATGCTACCATGTATGATTCAAAACAATGCTTTCTTTAATTCACATCTCAATTGAGATAGTATTGTGTTTATCAAGATTGGGTAGATTAATATCTTTAAGATTATAAAGCCTAATTTTTATAAATTCTATTTTTTATTGTACATCATAAATGCTTTATTTAGTTCTACTTTGTTAGGATTATTATAATTGCTTATTAATGTGTTTTGTACTACTCATCCCCCTAATTTTTTCATGTAATGAAAATTTTGTAAAACCCAATGTTATGATAAAAAAATAAGTACAATAACCACAAATCATGTGTTTTAACTACAAGTTAAATACAGAGAACTATCTCTCATTATGTTAATCATTGAACAACACTAATAGTATTTGATGAATTAGAGCCTTAGAGAACGACAACCCCAAAACTTTAAATAGTTGGATGATGAGATAAAAAGTCTTAAATTGTCTAATAATTTTATCCAGCACACCAACCAATGATTTAAAAATCAGCTTGAATTGGTCATTTCAACCACTTTAGACAATGAAATGATCATACAACTAGTT